AGGTCTGTAGCTATCTGTAAGTGAAGTGTTTAATGTAGGTTTTTTGAGCAGTGGGGTTACCCGAGCCTGCTTGAATAAAGTGGGGAAAGTGCCTGTGAGGAGAGATGTGTTGATGATATGTGTGAGTGGTGGTAAAAGTGTAGAAGAGATTGCTTGGAGAAGGTGTGAGGGGATTGGGTCCAGAGGGCATGTTGTAGGATGGCTGGAGAGGAGAAGTTTTGATACTTCTGCCTCAGTGAGGGGACAGAAGGAGAAGATGGTAGTTTTGTCACACTAAATGACGTGAAAAGTTAGAAAAACATTTAGTTGTTGAAGACAGTCATTAATTGACAAGATAAATATAGATGATTTATTCAATACATATAAATATAAATTCTCAAACATACACTACCATTCAAAAGTTTAGTGTCTGTTTTTGAAAGAAGTCAAGACTGCATTTATTTGATCAATGACAAAGTAAAAACAGTAACATTTTGAAATATTATTACAATTAACTGTTTTCTATTTCAGTATATTTTAAAATGTAATTTATTCCTGTGATACAAAGCTGAATTTTTATTATTAAACAGTTGTGCTGCTTAATATGTTTGTGGAAGCCATTATAAATTTTTTTAGGAATCTTAGAAAGTTAAATTGTTTATTTCAAATAGAAATCTTTAGTAACATTATAATTGTCTTTAATGTCACTTTTGATTAATGTAATGCAATGTAATCTTGCAAAATGGAAGTATCAAAAAATCTTACTGACCCCTAACATTTGAACACTGTAGGGGAAATTTCGGCATAAATATAAAATCTTATCTTTTTCAGGATTTACTTTTTGTGATTCCTTCTGGAAGTTTGATGTGATTTGCAGTATTGCAATTTTTATTATTAGATATTACCATCATTTGATTTAAGCTTATGTAAACTCCGAAACCGTGATTGTGTTTTAGATCACTTTGAAAATAAATTCAAGATAGGACATGTTTCTAAATGCGGCTTCACGGATGTAATTTGAACCACTTCATCCCTTTGAGGCAAGAAACTACAGTGTTGTTTACAACTTCACCTGACGTAGAGATCTTCATTTCAACTTGTGAATGGTTCCAATTGACCCCTGGGCCAGTAGGGAACGCTTCTTTTCACACGTAGATGTGACGAGTGTCAGAAAAAGATGCTTCCGTTGTCAAAACAATGATTGCTGCACTCCTTTCTTTATTTACAGGAAACACAGTGTTCCTTCCTCTCTTCTTCTGGCAGCAAAATATAGACCCACAACTGACTGCAGAAAGACACTGGGCTGCTGACCGCTCATCTCCCTAAGTGTCTCTTCCTCTATATTTAACTGTTTGGTTGTAATACATTTCAAGCGTTCCGCCGACCTTTGATCTCGGTTGAACAGAGAAGGTCTAATATTAGAAACAGAAGCTAAAAATGCTCTGGGAACACTTTTGGGGGATTTTGCAGCTCTCTGGAAGTTGTGTGAACTGCCTCGGATGTGGACAGTGGGACACGACAGTTTCTCGTGAGAATGCGGTGCTGTCCCGTCAGTGGCGCAGGGGGGATGTTTACAGAGGGCACGTGGGGTCTTCAGAGCATCACTCACAGGGGTGTGTCGGGGACGACGGCAGGTCTGCTCTCGGCACCCCGCTGATACTTTTAACAGGCCGTCCTTGCTCAGTGCTGTGTTGTCTGTGTTTGTGATTAGATTCTGACACGCTTTGTTTACACAGTAATGAACCTCCACAACCCTGAACATATACTGCTTGATAGTCAAGTGAGAGTGATTGGCAAACATTTAAAATTCAGAAATGTGTAAGAATTGGCCACTGAACTCTTCTACATGCACAAGAATATTTTAATTTTAATCAGAATTTGGCCATAAACCAATTATCTATGTGTCACGTAAACAACTTGTTAAAAGGAATAGTTCACCCAAAAATGAAAATTTGCGGAAAGGTACTCACCCTCTGGCCATCTAAGATGTAGATGAGTTTGTTTCTTCATTGGAACAGATTTGGAGAAATGTAGCATTACATCACTTGCTCACCAGTGGATCCTCTTCTGCCTCAGTGAGGGGACAGAAGGAGAAGATGGTAGTTTTGTCACACTAAATGACGTGAAAAGTTAGAAAAACATTTAGTTGTTGAAGACAGTCATTAATTGACAAGATAAATATAGATGATTTATTCAATACATATAAATATAAATTCTCAAACATACACTACCATTCAAAAGTTTAGTGTCTGTTTTTGAAAGAAGTCAAGACTGCATTTATTTGATCAATGACAAAGTAAAAACAGTAACATTTTGAAATATTATTACAATTAACTGTTTTCTATTTCAGTATATTTTAAAATGTAATTTATTCCTGTGATACAAAGCTGAATTTTTATTATTAAACAGTTGTGCTGCTTAATATGTTTGTGGAAGCCATTATAAATTTTTTTAGGAATCTTAGAAAGTTAAATTGTTTATTTCAAATAGAAATCTTTAGTAACATTATAATTGTCTTTAATGTCACTTTTGATTAATGTAATGCAATGTAATCTTGCAAAATGGAAGTATCAAAAAATCTTACTGACCCCTAACATTTGAACACTGTAGGGGAAATTTCGGCATAAATATAAAATCTTATCTTTTTCAGGATTTACTTTTTGTGATTCCTTCTGGAAGTTTGATGTGATTTGCAGTATTGCAATTTTTATTATTAGATATTACCATCATTTGATTTAAGCTTATGTAAACTCCGAAACCGTGATTGTGTTTTAGATCACTTTGAAAATAAATTCAAGATAGGACATGTTTCTAAATGCGGCTTCACGGATGTAATTTGAACCACTTCATCCCTTTGAGGCAAGAAACTACAGTGTTGTTTACAACTTCACCTGACGTAGAGATCTTCATTTCAACTTGTGAATGGTTCCAATTGACCCCTGGGCCAGTAGGGAACGCTTCTTTTCACACGTAGATGTGACGAGTGTCAGAAAAAGATGCTTCCGTTGTCAAAACAATGATTGCTGCACTCCTTTCTTTATTTACAGGAAACACAGTGTTCCTTCCTCTCTTCTTCTGGCAGCAAAATATAGACCCACAACTGACTGCAGAAAGACACTGGGCTGCTGACCGCTCATCTCCCTAAGTGTCTCTTCCTCTATATTTAACTGTTTGGTTGTAATACATTTCAAGCGTTCCGCCGACCTTTGATCTCGGTTGAACAGAGAAGGTCTAATATTAGAAACAGAAGCTAAAAATGCTCTGGGAACACTTTTGGGGGATTTTGCAGCTCTCTGGAAGTTGTGTGAACTGCCTCGGATGTGGACAGTGGGACACGACAGTTTCTCGTGAGAATGCGGTGCTGTCCCGTCAGTGGCGCAGGGGGGATGTTTACAGAGGGCACGTGGGGTCTTCAGAGCATCACTCACAGGGGTGTGTCGGGGACG